GCTGAGATGAGAGCTGACCTAAAGGCTGTGCAAAGCAGACTAGATAATGCAGAGGAACAAATAAGTGACCTAAAAGACAGGACAACAGAAAGCACACAATCAGAAGATCTGAGAGAAAAACAAATAAAAAACAATGAAAACAATATAAGGGACCTATGGGATAATATAAAGCATGCCAATCTATGCATAATAGGGGTTCCAGAAGGGAAAGAAAGAACAAAGGGGATGGAAAAGGTATTTGAAGAAATCATGACTGAAAACTTCCCTAAACTAAAGAAGGAATCAGATATCCAAGTACAGGAGGCTCAGAGGGTCCCAAACAGGAAGAACCCAAACAGAACCACACCAAGACATATCATAATCAAGATGGCCAGAGTCAAGGATAAAGAAATGATCCTAAAGGCAGCAAGAGAAAAACAAAGAGTGTGTTACAGGGGAACCCCCATAAGGCTTTCAGCTGATTTCTCTACACAAACACTACAGGCCAGAAGGGAGTGGCAAGATATATTCAAAGTCCTGAATGAGAAAAAGATGCAGCCTAGGATACTCTATGTACCAAGGCTATCCTTTAGAATAGAAGGAGAGATAAAGAACTTCATAAACAAGCAAACACTAAAAGAGTTTAGCAACACTAAACCCATGCTAAAAGAAATATTGACAGGTCTACTCTAAATAGAAAAGAAGCAGGATGCTACAAAAATGAGAAACTCATAACTGCAAAGGTGATAACTACCATGAATTACAAATAGAATAAACACATAATTGTAAAAGAAGACATCTAAGTCATTAAGAGTGGAAGAGGGAAGCAAGGAAAGCCACTGTGGAAAACAGTATGGAAATTCATCAAAAGACTGGGAATAGACTTACCATAGGACTCAGGGATCCCACTTCTGGGCATATATCCTTAAGGAACCCTGCTTCAAAATGACACCGGCACCCCAATATTCATAACAGTATTATTTACAACAGCCAAGACATGGAAACAGCCTGGATGTCCATCAACAGATGACTGGATAAAGAAGAAGTGGTATATTTATACAATGGAATACTATTCAGCCACAAAACCCAACAATATAACGCCATTTGCAGCAGCATGGATGTTCCTGGAGAATGTCATTCTAAGTGAAGTAAGCCAGGAGGAGAAAGAAAAATACCATATGAGAACACTCATGTGTGGAATCTAAAAAAAACCCAAAAACATAAATACAAAACAGAAACAGACTCATAGACATAGAATACAAACTTGTGGTTGCCAAGGGGGCAGAGGGGTGGGAAGGGACTGACTGGGATTTTAAAATGTAGAATAAACAAAATTATACTACATAGCACAGGGAAATATATACAAGATATTGTGGTAGCTCACAGCGAAAAAAAAATGTGACAATGAATATATGTATGTTCATGTATAACTGAAAAATTGTGCTCTACACTGGAACTTGACACAGCATTGTAAAATGACTACTACTCAATAAAAAAAAGTTTAAAAAAACAGTTTAAAAGAAATTATAAAGGCATATGGAAATTATGTACAATTGTTGGATTATCCTTGCCTTCCTCGTTGAATCTCAAAGGAAAAGATCAAATAAATTAGCAACACAAGCGGAATATATTCATCATTGGAACAACTGCTGAAAGTTATTTTCTTTAATCAAATTCAGCTTTCTTTGAATTTTGACAAATTCGCTTGCCTAAGAAATTTGAAACAGAGTAAAATAAAGATGCTATGAAATGGGGAAAAAAAACTACAGTTAGGTATCACCTCCCTCCAGTTGGAAGGGCTACTGTTAAAAAGTCCACAAACAATAAATGCTGGAGAGGGTGTGGAGAAAAGGCAACCCTCCTACACTGTTGGTGGGAATGTAGTTTGGTGTAGCCATTATGGAAAACAGTATGGACATTCCTCCAAAAACTAACAGTAGACTTATCATATGATCCAGCAGTCCTACTCCAGGGGATATATCCAGAGGGAACTCTAATTCAAAAAGCTACTTGCACCCCAATGTTCATAGCAGCACTATTTACAATAGCCAAAACAGGGAAACAACCTAAATGCCTATTGACAGATGACTGGATAAGGAAGTTGTGGTATATTTATACAACAGAATACTACTCAGCGAAAAAAAGAATAAAATAATGCCATTTGCAGCAACATGGATGGACCTGGAGATTGTCATCCTAAGTGAAGTAAGCTAGAAAGAGGAAAAAAAAAGTATCATATGATGTCACTTATATCTGGAGTCTAAAAAAATGAGATAAATGAACTTATTTACAAAACAGAAACAGACTCACAGACATAGAACACAAACTTATGGTTACCCAGGGAGAAAGAGGGTGAGAAGGGATAAACTGGGAGTTCAAGATATGCAGATACTAACTACTATATATAAAATAGATAAACAACAAGGTCCTACTGTACAGCACAGGGAACTATATTCAATATCTTATAGTAACCTATAATGAAAAGGAATATGAAAAAGAATCTATGTATGTATATGTATGACTGAAACATTATGCTGCACACCAGAAATTGATATACCATTGTAAACTGACAGTCAGCTATATTGATTATATTTCAATTTTTTTAAAATGTAAAAGAAAAGAAATTTAGCCATAGTTGTGTCCAAATTGTGGGTAAGTTTATGCCAGTTAGACCACTCCTGCTCCGAGCTCCTGCTCACTTGGTGCTGTTCTGGTGTTCGTGTCGTCTGTGTAGGTAGATACCAGGGATTCTCCTGGTCAGGCATGAACTGATGCAGGCTTATGTGTCATGGTTTAGACACTGGGATCCCTTGTGCATTTGGATAGTGTGAGTCAGTCTTCAAGCATTGGGTCTGTTCTGGGGCACTGACTCAATGCCAGATTGAAAACAGGTTTTAATCCGGGCAAACGACAGTAAATAGAACTAAATTCAGGGTCAGAGCACAAGCGCAGCAACAGAATTCGCAATATCTGCCAAGACTGCAGGAGTGAGGAGTGGTTCTTGCCACACATTTGCCAACTCTGGCCCCCATCACATTTATGCAAATGCCTGGAATAAATTCCACTTAATCATGGTGTATGATCCTTTTAACATACTGATGAATTTGATTTGCTAACATTTTGTTGAGGGCTTTGCCTTCCATGTTCCTCAGGGACACTGGCCTGTAATTTAATTTTCTTGTAGCGTTCTTACCTGGCTTTGATATCAGGGTAATGCCAGCCTCATAAAATGCAGCTGGCTTAACTGGATAATCAGACAAGGCCACAGGCTGTCATGCACAACTGGACAGGCCACTGGCTGTACTCTGCTGTTGGAATGGCTCCCCGATCAGGCTGGGCCACTGACTACGCTCAGCAATCAAGCTGGGCGTTAGGCTCTGACACTGAGTAGGGTCAGTGCCCAGCCTCCCTGGTTGGGCGAGGCCACAGGCTGTGCTCTGCTGCTCGGCTGCTGGCTTGGCTCCCTGCCTAAGGAGGGCAATAAACTGGGCTCAGAGGCTAATCGGGGTCTCTTGCCAGGCTCTCGTCAGGCAAGGCTGGAAGTTATGCTTAGCAATCAGGCAGGGCTGGAGGCTTGGCACCTTGTCCGGGTGGAGACACGGGATGAGAACTACAGCCCATTGGCTGGGGATCCAAACTGGGCAGAACCACCTATCTAGCTCCCTGGTCAGATAGGTCCACCAGCTGGGCTGTGTAGATGGGCAGGACTGCTGGCTCGGCTCTCTGCTCAGGCACTGCCAACAGCAGGAACATAGTCAGCCAAGATCTATGTGCTGTTGGCTATGAGCCGCATCCCTTTCTCCATCTCCAACTGATCCCTGGTGGTCTAACCCTAATGATTCCCCAATGATTCCTGGGAGACAAGACTGAAATGGGCTTCCTGGGAAGCATCTTGAAATGCTGCAGAAGCTGGATGTTCACCTTGAACTCTCTTTATCCCACAGGAGAAACTGAGGCCCCAGGACCCTGCAGGTGCAGAGCCATGCTGCCCCAGGGGCTTGGGGGTGATGCTATCAAAGTGAAGTCCTGCTCTTACCCTTCTAATGCAGTTTTTCTTAGTTTCTGCGATCCAAGGGTATGCTTCAGCCTCACTCCTGGGTTCTGGAATCTTCACAAAGGCGTCCTGTTCTATTCAATTGCTAGTTGGTCTCTCTGTGAAGGAAACTGAAGCTGGGACCATTTATTCCACCATTTTGCTAACCTCACTTCTATTCACTGATACTGCTTGATACTGTTTTCTACCTTAAACAAAATAGTTTATTTTTACTTTGTTGCCAAACAAATAGAATCATGGCTTATATATTTAATTTCCTGTGTTTTTAACAATTCTATCAATTTCTGACTTTAACAAAGACTTTTCTTTTGGGGAAGTGAAGAGTGAGGGAGTCTTTGTGGGGTAAATACTACAAAGAAACTGGAACAGGGCTAGAGGCACTGATTAGGACTGGAGTCCAGGAAAGTGACCTAGTCACAAGGTCCCAGAGACAACTGGGACTTGGACGTGAGGGGAAGAGAGGACGAGAGGAGTAGGTAAGACATTCAGAGCTGTTAGAATCCAGGAAAGGAAGTCACATGAGATGCAGCATTTTTGTTCCAATTCATCTTTGAAGGCATCTTGAAGCAGTGGCTGAAGGTGGTAGAAAATTTGGTAGCAAGGAAGGACAAGTCTTGCCAATAGCAAGGAGGGCTGGCAATTTGTTCACGTGATAAGAATTTGAGTCCCTGTATGTCAGACACAGGTCATCCCTGGAGGTACAACAATGAACAGGACGCACACAATGCCTGTGAAGACAAAGGGCCAGGCCCCAGCTGGATGTCCACATAGAGTGCCAGACCCAGCTGAACTTGAGTGGGAGACAGGGCAAAAGTCACACAGATCAAGAATGCATCAAGGAGAGGAGGGGTGAGGCTGCACCATCTTGAACACAGAGGGGCTTGTCCACTCTCCCCCCACCACCAGGGAGCCATTAGACCATATTGTTAATGTTTTGGTGGGGTTTTTTTGGCTGAGGGAGGTAATAAGGTTTATTTATTCGTTTATTGTTAGAGGAGGTACTGGGGATTGAACCCAGGACTTTGTTCATGCTAAGCATGCGCTCTACCGCTTGAGCTATGCCCTCCCACCTAGACCATCTCTTGGTGAGGAGCAGACTGCCCCCATGCACTGTCAGGATGGGTTCTTACCAGCCCAGACGCTGAGTATTTACAGCCGAGTGAAGCTGGTTGCGATAAGGTTCAACAACAGTCTCAGAGTGCGTAACAAGTTGTCGGCGTCAGTTGCTCGCTGCCAGATGCACCTCATTCTGACCAAGCCTGGGCGTGAACTGAGCTGCTCAGTCCGTTCCCTGGCGTTCTTGGCTGCTGAGAGCCTGTCCCTCTAATTGTGGACAGCTTCTAGAGATTGTGTTACGTCTATTCAGAGTCCCTTTCCCAGTATTCCCTAAAATGCAATGCAACACAATGCAATGGAATAACATGACATGAAATAACACAATAAAATAAAATAAGATAAAATAAAATAAAATAAAATAAAATAAAATAAAATAAAATAAAATAATGGCATGGTTACGTAAGTCTTGTTTCAGCACACTACAAAACCTCTGTGTGGCACAACAAATAGGATTTAATTTTACTTGTCATAATGTTCATTATTAGTTTCCAAGGGTTTCTGTAACAAAATGCCACAAACTAATCCACTTAAGACAACAGAAATTTATTGTTCTGAAGGCTGGAAGTCTGAAATCAAGGTGTCGGTAGGGTCTCTATGAAGGTGCTAGAGAAAGACGCTTCCCTGCCATTTTCAGCTTCTGGTGTTTGTGGGCAATCCTTGGCACTGCTTAGTTTGGAGCTGCCTCGCTCCAGTCACGTGGGTATCTTCTCCCTTCGTGTCCTCACGCTGTCTTCCCTTGTGAGACATCTCTCTGTGTCCAGATTTCTCCTTTTTATAAGAACATCAATCATTTTGGAATAGTTCCCACTCTAGAGACCTTATTTTAACTTGATAATCTTTGATTAGGTAAGACCCTATTTCCAAATAAGGTCACATTCTGAGGGCCTGGGAGTTGAGACTTCAACATATCTTTCTGAGGGGACACAATCCAGCCCATAACATTTATTCTAGGTAACAAGTGATCTTGAGCCTGAAGCCAGAACTCTAACTACATATTTGTTCTCTCCCTCCACCCCCATCTCTCTCTCCTTGCCATCACATTCTGTGAAAAAATAAACATGATGTTTCTCAACTTGAAATATGTTTCTAGGAACATTACATTTTGAAAGTGAAAAAAATACCTGCCTATACTATTCATTTAGCCATCAAACTATCTAGCACTTTGTGACATCCCTCAGATTATTTTCCTGTATTGCTTCTTCACTCTCACTTTGGCACCAAACGTCTCTTGTATCTGTAGTCTTAACTGTCCAACTCAATTTTAGACTCCCTGAGAAAAGGGCTTCTAGTTATTGCTAATCTCACAGAGGAAAATGCTGCTCACATTCTATGGGTAGAACAAATGACTGAAAGCAGGTCACAGTATCCTCTATGCCTGCTACCACACGCACTGCTCCAGGCAAAATAACTCTGCCCTTTTGTTCAGTAAAATGACTAGCGTGGCTGTTCTTGCCACATACACAATTTCTGCCACAATTAGGCTTTCCACAGAAAGGGGGCACTCTTGGCACAGTAGGTCCTTAACATATAGTGGCATATGATTATATGGCCATTTGACAAGTTTGGGGTGAAGCACAAATGTGAAATTTCTTTTTCAACGTTAAAGCCCCGTACTAATCATCCAGTAATCATTTATTACAGGTAACTATTGCTAGATTCCAGAAAATGATAGGAAGGCAGATGTAAGTACCTGCCCCCTACAGAGGAGGCAGAGGAATAACTACTATTACAATAGTATAATTAACTGTTATAAGAAGATAAGCCTGGGGTCTTGGAGTATCACAGATGATTCCAGAGTAGGTGTGCTTAACTGATCCAGAGAGGTTTAAAAAGGCGACACTTAAGCTGAGAATGATAGGTTTAGTAGAAATTAGCAAGCAGAGAAAATGAGGAGTGCATTCTAGGTGTAGATAGAACAGGAATAAACTCATGTAAGTGACTTGGATATGGAGAATTCAAGCATCTCTGTACAATCAGTACAAGAGTTCCATAACAGATACAATAGGGGAGTGGTAGTAAGACTAGAGAGGCTGACAGGAGCCACGTGTTGAAGCTAACAACTTTGAACTTGACCTTAGAAATGACAAGGAGCCCTTGAACAATTTTAAGCAAAGGAGCAATGGCACCTGAGTTGCCTTTTTAGCAATATCACATCAGTGAGCAATGGGAAGGATGAATTAAAGGACTGTGAATTCAGGGACAAGGAGGTCATTAGGAGAGTATAGCAGTCAGTGAGGTGAGGGGTGACAAGAGCCCAGATTAGAAAGGTCATTGACAAAAGAGTGGAGGAGACATGCAAGGGTTGCTTAAAACAGGGTCTTTCAAACTGCAGGTCTAACCTATTAGTGAGTCATAACAGCAACCTAATGGATAATAGATGGATTTTATTAAGAAATAGAGAAGAGGTATAGCACAGGGAGTGACATTCAGTATCTTATAATTATCTATAATGAAAAAGAATATATATATATATATATATATGTATAACTGAATCAATCTGCTGTACACCAGCAACTAACACAACATTGCAAATCAACTATACTTCAATAAAAAATAATAAAATGCCAAAAAAAGTAGAAAAGAAAATATCAGTGTATCACATAGCTCTTAGCAAGAACCAGTAATAAAAACTTTAATTATCTATTGAAATAGCCATTATGGAAAACAAAATAGGAATTCCTCAAAAAACTAAAAATAGACCTACCATATGATCCAGCAATCCCACTCTTGGGCATATATCCACAGGGAACTCTAATTCAAAAAGATACATGCACCCAATGTTCATGGCAGCACTGTATACAATAGCCAAGACATGGAACCAACCTAAATGTCCATCAACAGATGACTGGATAAAGAAGTTTTGGTATATTTATACACTGGAATACTACTCAGTCATAAGAAAGAATGAAATAATGCCATTTGCAGCAACATGGATGGACCAAGAGATCGTCATTCTAAGTGAAGTAAGCCAAAAAGAGAAAGAAAAATACCATATGATATTACTCACATGTGGAATCTTAGAAAAAAAAAAGGACATTATGAACTCATCTACAAAACAGAAACAGACTTGCAGACTCAGTAAACAATCTATGGCACTGGGAAAAGGGGTGGGAAGGGATAGATTTGGGAGTTTGAGATATGCAAATGTTAGCCACTATATATAAAAATAGCTTTTTAAAAATTATCTATTGAAACAGATCACTGAATATTAATATAGATAATAACCTAGTAAGATTTATATTATTAAACATGGATATGTTCATATGACTATGAATATGGATGTATTAGAACATGATGCAAAATGAAGTTTTTCTAGAGATCATGAATAAAAATAATTGAAACATACTGACTTAGAGGGTAGTACAGAGTAAGCCTTGGTAACCATTTGGACAGGATGAGAGGCTACAAGAAAAAGTGTGGTTTGGTTGACTGTGGCCACTCAGGTTGTGTGTGTGTTTAACTTTGGGACATAAAGTTTAAGGGGTTTATGAGACCGTCCCTGACCCCCAGGAGAAGATGTCTAGGAAACAGATGGGGAACTGGCTCTAAGATGGAGGAAAGACACCGAGGCTGAGAGGCTGGGGGTCATCAGTGCATTAGTGATAGAGCAAGCTTTGGGAAGAGCCACCTGCACATGGAAAGAATGTGTGGAGAGTGAACAGCACAGGGCAGAAGAGAGGGAGCCCTGGGGCACACCAGTGTCTGAGAGCCCCTGCAAAGAGAAGGCAGCCTGGCCAGGAAGTTAGAGGAAAACCAAAAGAAAGTGAGGTTCCAAACACCCAAGGGAAGAGTTTTAGGCAGATGGAGCCCAGTTATTCAGATGCAGCACAGAGGCCACGGAAGCTTAAGGCTGAAGACCCTGTGGTTGGTAACTGGGGCTTCAGTGAGAACAACCTGGGGGAAAAGTGGGCAGAACTAGAAGGACTAACCATCTCAGTTTGCCCGGGGCTTGGGGGGGTTCTTTTTTTTTTTTTTGAGAACGCTTGTTTTTTTTTTTCTTTTCAGAAACTTTAATATGCTAATATTAAATGTGAATCTTTATTTTTGGGGGGGCCAGGAACACAGCTATTATATTTAACAGGGTTATGACTACTTCAAGTCTTTTATTTTCTTTCCCATCTTTTATATTACAGTTGATTTACAATGTTGTATTAGTTTCTGTTGTACAGCAGAGTGATTCAGTTATGCATATAAATATATACAAATTCTTTTTCATCACAGGTTACTACAAGCCATTGAATACAGTTCCCTGTGCTATATGTTAGGACCTTGTTGTTTATCTATTCTGCACATAGTAGTTTGTATCTATTAATCCCAAACTCCCAATTTATCCCTCTCTTCCCCCTCTTGTCCTGCCGTAATCATATGTTTGTTTCCTATGTCTCTGAATCTCTCTGTTTTAAAAATAATTTTGTTTGTGTCATTTTTTTAGATTGGGGGGGTTTCTTGGTATGTGGAACTTTCAGTGCTAAAACTGGGACAGTTCTATGCAAACTGGGATGATTAGTCAGCCTGGGACTCAAAACAGGTAAGGTTTAAATAGCAGGTGAGATGGAGGCCAAAGGTGTGGATTCTTTTTCTGAAAGACTCAACTCTAAACAGAAGAAGGTAATATCTGGAGAAGGAAACAGGATTGAGAGAGCTTTTCACTTCTCTGTCCCCCCTCTTTCTTATTTTTCAAACCATGCTAAAGGCTTATTTCTAAAGTGAAAGGAAGAAGTGAGGATGAGGCTGGAGAGAAAGGAGAATAAGGATAATGGGTGGAGAAGTATCTTGTCTTCCTGAAGTAGAAGAGGCAGGATGCTGAGCCCCCAGGGCAGGAGAAGGTCTGCCTGCCTGAGAGAAAATCCTGTATGTGAAAGTTGGGAAGTGAGGAGATTACAACATGCCCCACCCTGTCGGGATGTGGTGTGAGGAGAGGGGTAGAGTGGAGGCTTGAATGGAGGTAACAGAGGCTTGGAAGAGCCATTTAGAAGATGCAAGAAGACACTGAAACACCCCCCAGGCACCAAGGACTGCCCAGCTGACATGGGGAATCATGAATATGCAGCATATAACGTAATTATTACTACCAACAGGCTAGGATGCCTAGCTTGCCCAAAGTTGTACAACTATAGGCATCTTATGACATAATTTGAGTCTTGAAAATTACCTACCATTGCACTTAAAAAGAATTGTATATGGGCAAGTATGTGGCCAAAGAGGAGACAAAAATACTTTCTAACAGGCTGTGGGAGAAAATGACACGTGAGAGGAAGCAACAATATGTTCAGCCTTTGGCAGGACTATTATTAACGCGCACGCCTTACTGTACTGTGGTAGGGGGCATGGTCAGACACACATGAGCTCAGACTGCAAAGCAAAGTGGGGAGAAGAGGACGCAGAGGTGGAGCAATTTGGAGGCTACATAGGGGCTAAACACACATTCTTGGCATCCTGTATAGCAGGATGGTTTAGAACCTTGACATAATGCCAAGCCTTGGCTGCTTGATACTAACAATTCTCTCTCCCTCTTCAGCCATTTATATGTACTCCATGCCAAAGCCTCAAGATAACCCTTTGTGATAGTCATCCAGTTTTGTCAATGGGAAGACTGCATTTCAATACAGTTAAATAGCTAGTCCCTGGCTGGTAAATTAGCAGAGATGAGATGTAGTTAAGCTGACTGATTAAGCCCCTCCCTTTGTCCTTCTTACTTTTCACCTATAACAATGAGGATAATAACAATGCCTAAGCACAGGTGTTTGTAGGAATTAAATGAGATCATGTGTGTGAAAGTGCCAGGCACCCCGTAGACACTGCTTATGTATTTGTCTAGCATAGCGGTTTTCAACTGGTAGCAATTTTGCTCCCCACCTGCCCAACTGGGGTTTGCAGTAAGGGCCATATTTTTGATTGTCACAACTAGGGGAGTGTTATTGGTACCCAGTGGGTAGAGGCCAGGGATGCTGCTAAACATTCTACTCTGTAAAGGACAGCCCCCACAGCAAAGCCTATCCTGCCCCCAAAGTTAACAGTGGTGCAGCTGAGTCCCTGCTAGCAGCATCATGCAGGGGACTGGGGACCATGCACACTAACAAAGCTCAGCAGAACTTCACAAGCAACAGGCAGGTCTTGGTGACAAGACACTTTTAGATCTGGATCTTGGATCCACTACTTCCTTTCAGCAAGCTATTTACTCTGTCTGAGCCTCACTTTTCAAATGGGAATAACAGCACTTACGTCATCTGACTCTTAAGAGAGAGGCTCAGTGAGTTGGTCCCCAGCTCAGTGCTGGCACACGGAAACACACCGTTTTGGTATTATCATTTTTAATGAAAGGCACAGCAAGAAAGATGCTGGGAGAGAGAGACCTTGTTTTACTAAACTAGGTAAGAAGGAAGAGGAAATTAAGAAACATTGCAGTGACACTTAGTAATTGTCACAGGGTTATTCACGTTTTCCTGCTGCGCACCTCTATCCTGGACTGTATTCGTCATAAAGTAATTTCAACAAATTAAGTAATTGCTGAATAATATTCTGCTAACACAATGGAATTAATCACTTTTCACACCTTGAGATTTAGTAAGACACCAAGTTTCTCAAGTTGTAAAAGTTATTTTCATAGTTAACAAGACTGTTTTATTTCCTGTGGTGCTTTCTTAAGACAGGTTTTATTCAGAAGAAAGTGACTTAGGGATGCATCTAAAGCTGTCTGCCAAGGCTCAATACCATTTGTCTTTTTTGCCAATTCTTTTCTGAAAAGATCACAGTATTTTGCACAAACATTGACTGAGATTTTAAAATCTTTTGTATGACACTGGTTTCAACTTTCTCACATGTAGATTTTCTTATGATCAGTCTTGCTTGCTTGAATAGAGGCAGCTCTCCTCTGCAACATAACCAGTAGCAACATCTTGCATTATCTGGGTGCTGTTCTCACGGGACATTTTTGCCAGCCAGTCTGCAAAGGGCTCCCCCCGACCTTTTTTTTTCCCAGTGGCTCACTTCCCACCCACTCCTTCCTCCTCTGCCCCTCAACCACCCTGATATGCCACATGTCCTCTCTGCCACTTCATGGCTGGTTAAAACATTTCTCTGACTTTCCTCAAATCTCCCTCAGATGAACAAATCAGACTCCTCTCCAGGGTGCCTTCAGATGCCATTCATCAAACCTGCTATTCAGGGAAGAGATTTGCTTGGAAACATCATACCTTCACCATTTCCTTGCATGTGGGTATAGGCAGTGAGGAAGCACAGGGAGGCAGAAACCAACGGAGCCTGTGGGTGGAACAGGGGGAGGGAGGGGAAAGAGGTATACAGCTTGTAAGGGAAAGGGCAATCATCAGGCAAATAGATGGGCCAACAAAGTGCATGGGACTCACAATCCTAATGGCTTCCATATGTGGAAGCCATTTACACATATACATAAACACACACACACACACACACACACACACACACACCCCTGCAGTGGTCTCAAGGCATATTATGTATTTTCCCTCTGAGCTATCTAACAAGCTGTGAAGAAGTAAAAAGTGGAAGAATATTGTCATCCCCACCCTCTCAGATAAAACTTTGATGCAAAGAGGTTATAACTTGCCCAGTTTCTTCCTCCCAAAGCGGTTGAAGAACGGGAAAAAGAAAGAAGGGAAAGGGACCTCGAGTTTGCTAAATTTAAGTCTCTTACATCAGAAATTTGCAAGAAAAGTCCACAGAAAAAGATATCAGGTAGAGCAATGAGAGGCCAAAAGAAGAGAACAACGGCACTGATAGGAGTGGCAGAGATAAAGAGATGGAAGAGGGAAGGGAGCCAGAAAAACCTAAGAGGAAGAGTGACAGAGAGAGCTCCACACCCAAGGACAAGCGGAGGGGAGGTCCCCAGTGGCCACTGGCCTCACGTCCTCAATACCATTCTCACCTAACAGGGCAAAGAGATCACATGGGAAACCGTCCTATACAAAACACTCAAATCAATAACAACATACTTCTGCTCCATTCTTTTCAATATAGGCTTTAATTCATAACGCACTCAAAGGGGGCGGAAGGGGAGGGACCAGGGCACTGTTTGCTAGGAGCAATTACACTTAATACACTGACCTTTTGATGAAAAGCTGAAGAAGGGACAGGTGGCTACAAAAGCCATCTCCTGCCCCTTCCGCCATCCCCATCCCATTCTCCAAACCCCGTCTTGGTTTCTTGGCTCGTCTCATCCGGTAAGAGCCTACCAACGGCTTTCTTTTTTTTTTTTCAAACACGAGGCTGTGATTAAAACAACCCCCCACTTCTCTTATCGTTTTCTGAAGTTTCTTTTATTTAATTGAATTTTTAAAAATCCCTTTTCCTCTCCACGTGCATTTTCCCATCGTTCTTTACGCGGGAGCTCCCCACATCAGTCTCTATTGGGAGGGGAGGGCACCTCGCACTCAGTCCCGGTGCGCCCCCTCCTCCCCGGGCGCCCCTTCCCAAACCCCGTCGGCTCTCCAAAGGCTTGAGTAGGCAGTGCGGCTGTAGCCCGCGCTGTAGTCGTAGGACACCTGTTGGGGCAGCGGCGGCGGGGGCAGAGCGCAGTCTGAGAAGAAGGGGGCGAGAGTGGCCAAAAGGCCAGGCCCGTCCTCCCCGCCTGGGGAGTCCGCGGCCGCGGGGTACAGGGGGCGCAAGGGCTCGTTCAAGGTCAAGCCGCCGCGGGGGGCAGCTAGGGGCGGCTTCTTGGTTGGGGGCAGCCCGCGGCGCTCCAGGGCTCAGGGTACAGGAGGCTCCCCACCATCGCCGGCGGCGGCTCAAAGAGTCCGGGCTCCAGCTCCGGGGGTCCCCGCAGGGCAGCGGCTCCGGTGGGGGAACACATCTAAGGACTCCGCGGCGAGCAAGACGCCCGCCTCGGTGCCGGCGCCGTAGTCGGGCCCCAGCAGCTCGAAGAACTCCACTGCCTCGGCGCCCTTCTCCAGGTCTCCCAAGCTCACGCCGGGCCCCGACGGGCCGCACACGCCGCCGCCCGCCCGGGACGGTTCGGTGAAAAAGGACGGGGGTAGATTGCGGGC